AGGAAGTGACGTCGATGTGTGTGTATGACATGAAGGTGTACATGATCGACAATGTGACAGAATGGAAATACATGACCAAGAAATATACCCAGCAGCCTTCACTTCACTCTGACTAATCCAGATGGAAGCCTGACATTTATGAAACATTTCACGTAAAAATGATGACGTCACGGAGCAGTAGTTGTTTTTTAAGTCAAAGATTAAGGAATCTTTTTATAGACTAAGATTCCGATTTTTGTTCCCTGTTCCTTCAAGTCTCTCAGTTGTCATTTGTCTCCCTCTACTGGCCAGTAGGCGTTACTGTTTTGTCCTCGTAGGCGTGGCTTCAAACCTCTTCACTCACTCCCTGTTTGACCAAGTTCTCGGATGTATTCGTTTAGCGTCGAACACACAGTCAGTTCAGTGAGGCAGGAGTAGCAGCCACTCCTCCACTGTGTCTCTGTCCTTAATTCAAACCCTTTTTGCTGTTTTTTAAAGTGAACCTCAACAAAAAGCTGAGTGGACCAGAAGAGACAGAACAGATGAAGATCTTACCCTGGGACTGCTGAGAGGACTGGAGGACAGACCTGTTGACGCTCCGCTGACCGACCGAGACCTTTGAACCACAGGAAGTGATCATCAAAACAGCTTTGATCTGGAGCTTTGACTGAAATGATAGAACAGTGTTTTTGTTCAAACCTCTGACTGTGAGCGTTCGTGTCCAGGGCCCTGCGAGGTGGAGTGGGAGACCCCTGATCTGTGACACTCAGGACCTCCAGGCTCTTCCTCTCTGGACGACAGCGTCCGTGACGAGTCAACATCGGGGAGTCTACGCGCTTCCTAGGGGGGTCTAAAAAAAGAGGAAGTAGTTACAAACAACTGGTTACAAACAACTGTAGACTATATGTGTAGGTCTTGTAGACTGTCAGGCCTACTGTAGACTGCCAGGCCTACTGTAGACTGCCAGGCCTACTGTAGACTGCCAGGCCTACTGTAGACTGCCAGGCCTACTGTAGACTGCGAGGTCTAATGCAGACTGTCAGGCCTACTGTAGACTGCCGGGCCTACTGTAGACTGTCAGGCCTACTGTAGACTGTCAGGCCTACTGTAGACTGTCAGGCCTACTGTAGACTGTGGAATGTGGGTCAGACCTGCGTCATTTCTGGGGGGCAGATCCTCGTCCTCACAGCTGGGGTAACGCTCCTTTCTGTCCAACAGGAGGTAGTAGATCATTTTCTCCTGGTTTTCTCTAAAGCGGAAAGAAAAAAAACCACACTCAAAACAGGAAGTGATAGAAGACGACGACAGCAACAGAAGAAGAAGTTCACGCCATTTCAAAGGAGGGAGTGAGTGAGAAAACCCTGGTCAGTACTGACCTCTGGGGGGTGTGGCCCTGGTCAGTACTGACCTCTGGGGGGGGTGGCCCGGG